AGACATAACAAAAAACAATGACATTTCCAGTTAATACACAATACTCTACATCATATCAATTCAACTGATCGGAAAACTTCTCTCTCTCTCTCTCTCTCTCTCTCTCTCTGAATTTTATCAAGAGCTTTGAATTAAAATACATTTAATATGTTTTTATTTCTTCACAATCAGATCCAATATTATATATATTTTTGAGTATAGGTTTGAAAAAATAAGTAGTTTTTCTTTGACCACAGTTTCCAATGATATAGATTTATAAATACATAGGAGAATGACTTAAGCCCGGGACCAATATATGTACAAATCTGTTGTGAGTGTATTCTTTATCTGTTATTTATAACCCGTGGCTCACGACTAGAAATTTAACTCATGTTTTAGATAAAAAACAAATTGAATGCGAAATGAGAGCAAACTATTGATTAATAAATAATCTACAAAAATATATAGTATTTTTTTGGAGGGGTTTTGCGAGAAGTTTTCTACAAATGAATATTTTTTATATAAATCAGACAAATATATGTCTTGTATAAAACTTATCATTATTTGTTGATTCAGGACTTCACAGGTTTTTTTCTCGCGTAACATATAATACATGATATAATGAATAATAGCTTTTAGTCGTCCTCTCGCTATGGGTTTCGTTGTGTTATTTGTGTTTCACTATTAGTCTTATGGCACCAGAAATTAATGTCATATATTTTGAAAAGCTTTACTATTTATCAAATTATTCACAAAATGGTTTGCAAAATAGGAGTCAATGTATATTCTTATGTAAATTGAAATCTCACTAATGATAGCGTTTCTCTCGTTTTCGGAGATATCGTTGACTTATTTACTAAATTATGAATATTTTATTTTATATGAAAATGTTATTTATCTGAATTAGTCGACGAAATATAATATTTTTATGTATTACTAGTAATTAAAGAGAACTAATGAAAAATATTACTTAATATAATGAATAGACAGACTTTTACTCTAAAAGTAGGCATATTTGGAAAGTAATCATAAATTAAAATCAAATGCTTTCTCTGGAAGTAAAAGTTTTTTGCTTTTTACAAAATATACATAACAATCAATTTTAGTGAATAAAATCAGTTTATGATTCAAACGGATAACGAATAGTGTTTGTCAATCAAAACCATACTTTCAATGCAAACGTTTTACATGATATGCTTAGAAATTAATTATTCAATTTTTCCGTGTATTAAGTAAACTGCGATTTCTATTAACTTAATGTATACCAAACCTCCAGCTCCTGCCTGTCTGTCCCCAAATACACCGCCAGAAAAAAATGCAAAAACATATTTTGAATCAAAATTTTTTGATTAACTAACGTATGAGAAATCAGAAAAGACTTTTTGATTACACGAAAAAACTTTATTTCCATTGAATATAACGCGAACTGAAGATCCGTTTGCGTGCAAATTGTGTGCAGAGATTAAAATCAAAACAGTTTGCAATTCAACAAAACAGTTAATGATATCTTAGAGTATATTATGTAAGTTGTTGTTAAGGGTTCACCAAATGGTTTAATCATATTTTTGAATGAAAGGTCTAAAAGTTTTTTTTCTCGCAATTTGATTGATTCGTTTGTAAACTTGTTATCAAATTTAGCGAAAACTAATTTCAATTTACTTTTCACTATTGTTATGGACAACGAATTAAAAGATTTGCTCGAAATTGGCATCAATTATGAGATTAAAATCAAATTTATATCGAGACAAGGATTTCGGTGCCTATGTTTCTAATTAAATAATTACATTTGTATTACATTTATCTCCAACACAAACACAGACAATAACAAGAAAGCGAGAGAGAGAGAGAGAGAGAGAGAGAAGTTTTCCGATCAGTTGAATTGATATGATGTAGAGTATTGTGTATTAACTGGAAATGTCATTGTTTTTTGTTATGTCTGAACAGAAGGACCGTTTTGTTTCTGCCAGAACTCAAACAACAATAGCTTTTGGTGTTTGCGAACGATTAACTCAACCCATAATTTTCTGTACTGCGAGTTCGTCACCGGTTTTATTACTTATTATAATCTATTAAGAGATCCCTATCAGGTATGTCCACAATTAAGGCACTACTCCTCCACTCCAGATGTAATGCATTACATCTCATAAGAGAGAATTGATTGTTGAATCACATGTCTATTGTACGGATCATTTGACATACAATAGAGATACTGTATATACAATATTTGGATTCAATTCTCTCCTCTATTCTCTTCATATAATTAATGATATAACACAACGAATGTCTCATTTGCTATCTGTTTATATGTATAGCTAAGGAACTCCATATACGACCTCGAGTTCACTACTTTGGAGGAACTCAGACGACAGCTAAACAAACTGAAGAGCTGTGCCGGCGCTCAACATTGCACACTACCTGCCCATCAAATACATAATCACATTATAAACGGTATATAAAAACACATTTTTATAAGATTGTCGCCAAAAAAACATTTATATAAATAATTCTCTAAACCCAAAAGTAAAACTTGTTTCTAAAGCAAAACATTATTTATTTGACGCTTTTTTGTTTGTTTTTCACAGAATCAGCGAATATGAGTGCAAATCATTTTTGGTCAAAAGTCGATCGGAAAGAAAAATTGTTGTTTCCATATAATAGTTGAGACAACAAATCTCATAAATTGAAATGAAAGCAAAATTTGAATTTTTCATGACATAATGACATAGATTTATAAATAAAATTACATTTACGAAAACCAATTTCACTGATTCCGTGAGCGAAAGCCAAACATTGCAACGATTTTTGTGCAAAAAAAGGAAATTTTGATAACGAGAAGAGATTAGCGAATCGTTCAATTGCTGTACAAATTTTTAGGACATTTTAAAAAATGTTATTTAACTTAATTTTGTGGTAATATTATTAAGTATTTTTTGTGATATTTTCATTTGAAGTTCATTTACATTTTTTCAAATTTAACACTAGGTATTATATTTATATCATATTATATAAGTATCACTTTCTATGGCTTAAAGCAAATTGTACACGAAATTCATGTCACACACACTTAATACTGTATTTAAAAGTAAACTCACAATTTTCTCTCGCAAAACATGTTCAAAAAGTATTATCTCATAATATATTTAATGACTTATTAATATATTACATAACAAAACAATACGGTGTATATAAATATATAAATTACTATTTGATAGCATTTTAAGCTTTAACTTAATATAAAGTCTAACACAACAGACAAATAGACTATTGGCTAACAATAAAACATTTTTATGGAAGAGAATTCATATAAGATTTTAAAATTAAGTCTATGTATAAAATGTAAAAATTTCATGAATTATTTAGTTTTTTAAATATTTGATGGCCTTTAGGGGCGACTTGTTTTCCGCTCTTCTATCTCGAGAGTGAGCCCTCGCATCCAATTTAATACTGTTTACATGGTTTCTACATTCAAAGGCCTCAAAACCTCTAATACCAGGCCTTCAGCTCTACATATATTGTGCACTATTTTTAGCTCTACTTATATTTGTTTGAAAATTTCGTTTTTATAATTTCTTTCTTCTTTCTCTTCATTTCAATCATTCCAAACGTTTTCATTTCATATATTTTCAAAACTATATTTTTTATTAATTTCAACAAATTTTTATGAATTTCTGTTTCTTTGATCATTCATTCAATAAAAAAATCAATAAAATACTATTAAATGTTTTCATTTATCAAAATTATTAAAATTCATAACTAGTGCATAACTCATTAAACGAGTTAATGTCTTGTGTTTTAATCATACTGTATAAATATTTTCCTTTAATTTGTAACTTTTTTGAAAGTTTTCAATTAAATTATTACAAAAAATTGTTTTTGATTTTATCGCTAATATTTATTATATTTAACATTTATGAGCACAATATTTATATACAGTATTATTAAATACTTGAATTTTTGATGTAATTTTTTCAACAAATTGAGTCTTTGTTTGCCTTTCTATTCAATAAGCTTTCAAATGAATTAATGCTTTAAAGTCAGCAAAAGTTAAGTTTTTTTTATTTCCCAGATATTCCACAGAGAAATACATTTAAGTCTATTATCAATAAAATCTTTACACAATTTCTAAATTGTTTTACTTATCATTTTCAGACACAAAATAATCATTTATGATAAATACTGGCAATTATTTTCCTTAACATATTTAACAAAAAACAAAATATGTTTCACTTATTAATTATACTTTATATTAAAATACAATAAATAAAATGAAACAAATATAAAACACAAGGTTTATAATCATTATTTAATACCATGAATATAAGGGTTTGTATGTCTCGTAAACTAATGTTGTAATAGAATTATAATATAATAATGAAATGAAAGGAAAAGTTTTAATTACTTCATAACTTGCGATAACTTTTTTCTCGTCCGTCGAGACGTCAAAACTTTTTCTCCTCATTTCAGACAAGTAGTGAAAAGCTCGACATAAAGACTGATATAAAGATTGATTGGATATCTGTATACATATATACATCTCGTCCAGAAGATAATTGCCTATGAATTGAGGTGTCGATGCGTTCAACTATTTGGCTATCAGTCATATATATTGTAACAAAAGTTGTTCAAAAGAAAGGAAGAATAGGATAGAAAAAAAGTTGACCGAAGACTGACTTTGCAGTCATAAGAAAAACTAATGGATGAGAGAGAGAGAGAGAGAGAGAGAGAGAGAGCAACGTATATGTGTTTTGGTGAGTGTTTTCTGTATATAATATATGACTTGAATATTAAAATGTTTTATTTTTATAGAAAAATCCAGTTTTATAACATATAAATAATAACCTAAAATAAAACAACGATATAAAAAAATGTCTTCAGATTTGAAGAGAGAGAGAGAGAGAGAGAGAGAGAGAGAGAGAGAGAGAGAGCTTTGTGTGAGTGAGAGATCGGTCGCAAAAACTCATTTTTTATATGTATATCTAATATTAGGGCTCATTGTTATCATCGCTCAAAATTATTGTCTTCTCTTAAAAGGCTATCCCTTTTATTAGATGAAAGTTTCAGTCTTAACGTTATTACAAACTCAATCACATCAATGACTTTCTACTCAAATAATAGTAATATTTGCTAACAAATGATTGCAAACACAAAATGCTGTTTTCAACAAATCTGAAGACATTTTTTTATATCGTTGTTTTATTTTAGGTTATTATTTATATGTTATAAAACTGGATTTTTCTATAAAAATAAAACATTTTAATATTCAAGTCATATATTATATACAGAAAACATTCACCAAAACACATATACGTTGCTCTCTCTCTCTCTCTCTCTCTCTCTCCCTCTCTCCCTCTCTCTCTCTCCCTCTCACTGGCAAAATAGGGCACATCTTTCACTCAAAACTAAAAAAGAGTCTTAAATTTTAAGTTTTCGTTTTGATGTTAAATATTTAGCTTAAGTTTTTGATGTGCGAGAACTTTAAAGTTCATAAATAATTTATATTGTTTTTAATCCGAAAATTTCTTATAACAAAAAAATATTTTACATATGATTTAAAGCTTCAGTGAATTCTAGTAATGTTTGTGTCGATTCTCTGCAATTATTAGTTGAAATATAAATTATACCTAAAACTAGTTCACAACCGAAAAGTTAAAACTAGAAAAAAATACACTCAATCTTAGTGTTGCCCAAAATGAAATTATCTAAGAAATTTCTTGGTAGAAAGTTTCTAGAGATTTCTCCTGACAAAGTTCTCGAGAAATTTTATCAAAACTTTGCATAATTAAGTTAATTAATTTAAAAACAAAATATGCTCAATTAAAAATGTTTTATTAACTAATAATGTATGTATTAAAACGATAAAACACACAAAAATACACTAAATTGGCCCGAGTATCACAGAAAGACCCAATAAATAGCGTTATAATAAATTAATGTAATTTCTGTGAAGTCTTTGTACAATATCATATGTATCATATTATAACAAATCACATAATATACTATGGGTTTCCCATAGAAGTTTTGAAGAATTTATCGTAACTTTTGGAAATTTCTCTTTAGGCAACACTCAATCTCTTTCTGTTGTGGAAATAAATGCCCAAAAATATATAATTTATTTTTTTTGTGGAAATTTTTAGTTCGTTAGACAATAGACTTTTTAAGACAACAATTCATTTTTGATTAGATTTTCATTGTTTTTTAAAAGTTATGGAAATTATTAGATATAATCTATTGCTTTAAATAATTTTTTTGTGGAAATTTTTAGTTCGTTAGACAATAGACTTTTTAAGACAACAATTCATTTTTGATTAGATTTTCATTGTTTTTTAAAACAATACCTTTAATAATCTATATTAGATAACGAAATTTATAATAACTTTACTATATAATTAATCTCTCATTCTCTATACCAGACTTTATTATTGTTTATTTTGGGATGAAAAATAAGTAATTTGTTAATTTGATGACATTAAAAGGTATTTGTTGTGAATTACTTAAAAATACGACAAAATTTATTATTTTTATTAATTTTTTCCTATTATATATGACTTAACAATAAAAATACTGTTTTGAAGGCTTTAATAATTGAAAAAGCATTGAAAAATACAGAAGTAATGACAAAATGTTGGAAACGTGTCGTTTATACAGTAAAGTCAGTTCCTCTAAATTTATCACTAATGTTAGCAAATATACTGTATATTCATTCAAATCAATGGCTCCCATAATTTATCGTTGATTATTAGGAAATTTCCTGATTTTAAAAACCGGATAAATTTTGGTTCACTTAAAAATAACATTTATTTATATATTTAGCGTATTGTGAAATATGTTATATTCCCTATTATATGTAATCCATTTCAATCATTAAAAGCACATACAGTACAGTATATATTGTGATTGAAAGTAGTGACCCAAATGTCGACAAATTCTTCGACCCGACCCAACCCGAACCCGAACAGACTTGACCCGAACCCGACCCGAACCCTAACTCCAAATTTCAAACCCAACCCAACCCGAACCCTAAACCCGAAAATAGTACAGTAAAGTAGGCTTTACAGGCGTTTAACCACATTTATGGCGTTTTATTAAACTGCTGCTACTTTTAAACTATAAAACAATACTTGTTAACTTATTTTGATTATATTAATAGTAATATGTGCTGCAAAACAACAGTTGTATGAGTTCACGCATGTCTTTTGAGTATAGAGTTTACTTTTGAGTTAAGGGTCTGATTCGGGTTCGGGTTCACATTAGCCCAATCCCAAACCCGAACCCAACCCGAATTTTACAAACAAGACCCGAACCCGACCCGAACCCTAAAGGGTTCGGGTTGGGTTCGGGTTTAACTCGGGTTCGGGTTTTAGATTTGGATCATTAGTTTACGTCTACTTCTTCAACACAAACCTATTACTCTCACACTTCAAGTCTAACTGTAAAACAAAGCTTTCATTTTGTCAAA